AAACTATTAAGTCAAATCACACTGTACCAGTACTGTATATCAATTAAAGTCAAACACTATTATCAAAAATAAATAAATAAATAAATAAAAGTTGAAACCCTCCGCTAAGTATAACAAATCGCCTGCGACCATATTAATGTTGAAGGCTCGAAAACCAAGCACAGAACCTTGTTGTGTAACGTCACCTTTTTCTAGGTTCTACCATACCCAAACTTTTCGTTCTTTGCTTCTTCTGCCCTCCTATTTTACTTATTAGTTTCAAGTTTTACAATTGGCAAAACCATTGTATTGAATTTTAAAATAAAAATTATTAAATGAGAGATAAACTCCAATATTTATGGGATTGCAGTGGTTTCCCTCATCAAATAATCTCGACATATTTTGTTTACTTATTTTACTTCTTTTTATTTTTATTTTTTTTGGTTATTTTACTTCTTTTTTTTTATCAACAGATTGAATTTTTGACCATTTTGTTTATTACACCAAGATGATGTATATAACATTTTATTTTTCTTCACGTTCTCTCTTGCTTTACCTCCACTTCTCTTACTCCCAAATAAATTGTGTTTTTAGTATAATTAAGTTTTTAATAACCTTAAGGTGAAAAAAATTCTCTTATGCTATTGTTGCTTTTTAAGGTTATGAGTTTGTGATTTTTTTTCTTAGAGTTTCTCTCCTAACTTTGGATTTCTCTTCTTTCTCCTCTATCCCTTTAATTGATGTTGGGAATTAGGTAGCTATTGTGTTGCTTCTTATTGTGTCTAGAACTAATAAAGACTTGACACGGGTTGCCTACAATTGGTTCAGAGTGTGAAGGTGGCTATGGGACAATTGTTGGGTTCCTCTGGTAGTTTATAAGTGTTTAATGTTGCTGGACAATAAGTGATGAGTGGGCAAGGCTCTAAAGTTGGCCATTGCTCTATTTTGAACAAGAGGAATTTTGATTTGGCATAATTCATGGTGAGGGAAGAATTATTCAGATATAGTCCAATAGAGGAAGAGTTTGGCTCAATATATTGAGAGGATTTCGAATAATAGAAAAAGGAGGTGAGATCTCCTTGGATGCTAAATGAGATTTTGCTGACAAGGAGGTTGGAATGCTAGGTTTGCAAAAGGAGAAACTTGGTTCCTTCCAAGGGAAGATTCGATTGACAAATAAAGAGGAAAACAAAAGTACTTTTGTCTCAGGTTAGTAACAAATTTGCTTTAATCTAGTAATTCGTGGGTGGAGATTATTGGTGTATTGGTATTTTTGCTTTCCCATAACATTGACATGTCAAATGTGATTACTTGGTGGATAAGGACGCTCACAATGGTAATCTTTTTACTTAGGTAGCTTTAATTAAATCCTCTAACATTACCCCTATAATGATCTTTAGGAATCCTTAGTGATTGCTGATTCTTTTGCTTAAATCTTCTATTACTAGTGTTGTAGTTGGCTTCACTTAGCCATTGAGGCTCTTTGCTATAGGGATTACTCTGTGTAATCCCTCTCTCATTAATTAAATATATGATTTTTTATTTTAAAAAAAAACTTTCAATAACCTAAACAATTCAATCATAATCCTCTTTTTATATAAGTAAAAGATCTTAAATTCTAATCACATTGTATGCTGGTAGCATATGTTAAGGGATGAAAAAGAGTTAAAAAAAAAACCCTAAAATATTATACTTAACAGAACTTAGTGATCTAGGTGTTATGTTTCAAAAGATAATGACCCAAAAGTTATAAAACTAAAAGGCTGGTAACCTCCCATAAGATTACCCAAAAATTCTCACTAGAATTCAATCTGCCTCACCAGTACTGCAAGTTTAAACTCCAAAGTCTGCATTAAACCTGCCGTTTCAAGTTTCAACTGCTCAAGAGTTGACTTAGATTACTCAGGTCTGATTACACAGCCAATTAAAAATTCGTTTTTTAAATTTCCCTTTTACTTTTGCATTAGTCTGAGCCACTAGGGTGCACAGCACAGAGCCCCAAGTTCACTGGGCAACGCGTGTGGGGTAAAAAAGGCCAAAGGCCAAAACCCTTGCATTGGAGATTGTAAATACAAATACCCAAGAAAAGAAACCCTCACCTTACCCTGTTTCCCTTGCCCACCCTGTCCTGCTTTCTTCAGCTCATTCAGCTGCATTGGAATATACACTTCTTCTTTAATCAGACACTAAAACATGCGATTGGAAAGCTAAAGATAGAGGGATCATTTGAGATTGCTGTCTAACGTTGTGTTGTGACGGTATGTTCTTTCATATATATATATATATATATATATATATA